AGAACAGACATGATGCGTCAGCAATGAACGGCGAGGCTTGGGACCTGTCTACCTCCGCGTCCTCGGAAGGCTGGCAAGTCCGCTCAACTTGTGGGTTTGACATGACTGGTGGGGCGTGTAGGGTGCCAAGGATAGTGCAGATACAACGTCGAAGGTTTATATGCGGCCACCGGCAGTCACGGTATTGCACGTGATGGTTCATGTTCCGTTACACCCGCCTTCCATATCAGGAATCAGCTCATTACTCGTGAAGTAGCTCCTGCATATCCTTCAAGTCTTGTAATCAGACTCCAAGTAATGTAAACAATACCGAAGAGTAGGCTCGACCAACTGTGAGTGAGACGAATATGCCTTCTTGCAGTGTTGGCGCCCGACTGATCGCGTAGGAATATGGGCACACGTGACCGCGTTGACAAGGAGTTGTGCGGCATCAGGCGTGCAGAGCAGCCTAGTATCAATTGTGTAGCATGCTGATTTCGTGGTTCATCTATACGTCAGCCAGTCGTGGATTTGCTCGCGTGGGGCTTCCAATGGCCAATAATGAAATGCACGTAGGCAGGCTCAACCGGCTCCGCTCACTAGCCATGTTCAGCCATGTCTCACCGCATAGGGGTCGATCGAGATATTGGTATGCGTACATCATAAAATACATTCACAACATCTTCATGAATATATATGCTACAACATCTCGACCGCTAGCATAATATTGACCTGAAAGCTGACAGACACATACAGCAGCGCGGTCTTCACGGAACGGAATCCATCGTGTCCGTCTGCGTGGATCCGCGCACGGTTACCGTGATGATCCACCCATCTCTCCATGGCATGTCATCAGGCACAGCCAACGTCCAACGATAGGGAACATAAAGCGAGAGCGACTGATGGAGCGAGGAAGCAGGACCGCCCCGGCTCCCGGGACCTGTCACGGTGGCTGTATCATAGAATTTTGGTTATCCGTGTGTTACCCTCCGAAGTATCAGTCTCGGGGGCCAATCGCACAGCGCACATTACATATGAACCTCGCGCACGAAGGTATATAAGTAACCTTCGTTGCGTCCCTCCTCCCCAGTCACCGACTACATACCTCAATCTAACAACATGTCTGTGAGTGGCCGTCATATGCTTCAGTGACGGACTAGGGACACTAACCGTGGTCGACTGCAGGACACCGTCAAGTGCGCTAACGTCCAGGCCAACGGCGGCTCTTGCAGCTACCCGGCATGCAACTGCGCTGAGCCACCGAAGAGCAAGTGAGGTGTATCAAGAGACACTTCCTCCGTAGGTCTCTCCGCTGCCACTGCCTGAGACTCTGTGGAGCTGATGAACTTGGGTTAAACAGTCATACCGACTGCGGGTCTACGTCGTCGATTATTATTGTATTCTTCGTATCGTAGCACGAATGGAATGCCTCTAGCGTGACTTGCGAACGTCAGTTTGAGTTCATCACGCGGCAACATTAGCCGTCCGACATGTTGGGGCGATCTCGCATCGATTGAAGCTGTGCACAGTAATTGTGCGTCAGGTCTGTTACGCGTCTCGGTCGAATGGATCTTACCGCGCAAGCTTCAACTCCGAGAGGTAATGGGAAGGCGAACAAGATCCTCGCGGTGCCTTGTGTCGCAGAGCGCGAGTTAGTGAATCGCCCAAACGAAGACATATGTAGCTCGGATCTGTGCTATTGGGCGACATTAATACCAGCGACAGTCTGGTTGTCCACGCAAACGCGATCACGTGGCACTCGCTGATCGTGGACAATGACAGGTCCCCGACGATGGCACAATAGCCTTCATCGACATCGACAATTGGCATTCTGTGCGGATATCCCATGATTTGCACAGGAATGAGGGCTGTGAGCAGTGGATAAGTGAATCGCAGACTCAGCACAATTCGTCGAGCGCTGTTCAGCACACGCAGTAGTCCTGATCGGGATCTCACCCGATGTCGACGATCGGGGCAATGTCGAACATGCCATACCCAACGACCGTCCGCCCTCCGCCGACACCACTCGTGGCTGACCGACGCGTCGCGGCGAGGCTGACATTCAACAACACACAAACAATGACACACTCGCCGCATGCTATAAAGCCCGCACCCGTCGCTCTCTCCCATTGTGCTCCTTGACCTCCAACCATCACCATCAGGTAGGCTCCTCTTGTCGTCCGTCGTGGGTGATGAGTACTCACCTGCATTGTCCTTCCGTATCCGATGTCTCTTCCTCACTGTCGTCGTCGCCCTTACCATGGTTGAGTGGCGTAGTCGTCGCATCTAATGATAGGTGTGCACGTGTGGTACGTCGCTTTGCTTACTCGTTCACTGCCTGCCTGCTGATCATCACGCCCAGTTCGGTCCTCTTTGTCACTGTCGCTGTCAGCGTGGACGCCACACCTGAAAACGTCCTCACGAGGACACTGTCGGGATGTGTGGGTGTGGGTCACTGCTCTTGATAGTCTAGTACTCTCTACAGACTCGAGTATGTGCGTCACCATCTCAATAGTCTCGGCTCTCACTCACCTGCTTCGCACCCTCATATTGCCTAGCTCACTTTGATCACAAATGCAGCACCGCGGACCAGGCCCTAGGTGAGTCATGTCAGCACATCTCTATGGGTCGTTCACTCATCGGGGCATCGCGTCATTATCAGGACCTTGGTCTCCCCTGCAAATGTCTCCCTCCAAAGATCGGGAAGGGGTTGACGATGCTCCCGCAAGAGTGTCTCCCTCCAATGATCGGGACGGAGTGAACGGTCCCCTGCAAAAGTGACGCCCTCCAATGATCGGGACGGGGCGAAGACAGCATCGCCGACTGGGACCTAGGTAAGTAGTGTGTTGCGCCCCTCTGTAGACCACTCACTGATCATCGCGCCGTATCGCTTCCAGGATCAAGCTGGCCCCCGCAAAAGTGTCTCCCTCCAACGATCGGGACGGGGTGAAGGGTCCCCCGCAAAAGTGCCGCCCTCCAAAGATCGGGATGGGGCGAAGACTCAACGGAGCCCTGCAAATATCCTCCTTTCAAGCGGACGGGACGAAGGCCCCGAGGCATGGCGCAGGCCTTTGCGTGGCCCTCGGGATAAGTACTCGCTTCAACGCTCGCGACGGGGAAACCAACGTGCGCCCACACCCGGTGAGTCTTTCGTAATCTGTCCGCCTTTTGACGTCGGTGCGCTGCAGACAGCGACGACGATCTCGCTGTGCCCAGTCGCTCAGAGCAAGGCTACCCTCTGGCGAAAGTCTCGACACAATGCGAAGCACTAGGATAGGTGAGTTTGCCCGTCGCATTCGTCATACGTTTGCAGTGAGTCCTGACGAGATGTTTTACAGCCCCAGGCACCGGCGCGCCGGCTCTTCGAGACGACATATAAGAGTGCATCATCGCTGAGTGGCACATTTGTTTCTGTTATGGTTGTAGTTCCACATCCAACTTCAGCCGATTGAACACAGCCACAGTGGCGACTGTAGACGGAGAATCGAACAACGCTCGAACAAGCGTCCAGCAAGGTGCGCCTTCTCTCTCAGGCGGTTGTTTGGCGCGTTGCCCCAACTTCGGCAATCATAACCATGAAGATGTGCCGTCGTTGTTCCACTTGGATGTTCCCTTCCAGGAAAGGTGCATATAACCAGTCTGCGGGTGATCTGAAGACCGCTTGCAGACTGCCGAAGGCGTTATACACCGATCGCTGCAGCAGAAATGTGAAGGCGACGACGAGACGGCTTTGCGAAGCCGTCCTGCAAACGCGGTGTTCTGCACGAGGTACTCACCACGATAGCCATACGAAGTTTTCGTCTCTGTTGTGCATTCAACGAATATCAAAAAATCTTCATGGTCAATTGCGTGCACGCGCGTTTTGTGAGGCAGAGATATCGTGCACAGAGGGAGCTCCGATCCCAGGCATCTCCCATATGCAGTACGTGACGAATCAGGTCACCGAGCAAGAGACCCTGAGCGGGCGTCGCCAGTCGAGTCAGAGCAGCGCGCGGTTGTCGCCAGTCGTCGAAGGCGAAGGTGCGGGAGGAATAGACGCCGGTCCGAGGACTTGGTCTCTTCCTCGACAACCTGCGCTTCTACGATTTACACCACACTTTACCGGCATACTGCTTGTTTTTTGATCAGCATGACGTTGCCGATAGTTGAGGTCGTCGATAGTTCAGACGCAATGCTCTTGGGCGACCCTCTTGAATACATCGATCTGTGCCTGGAATGCGCCGTCGTGCAGCCCCGGGACGTGTCTGCGAAGCAAGCGCTATACTGCCAGCATCGCGGGAACGGTGTTCAAGTTTAGAGACCTGTGGAATGAGGCTCGAGCTCCGTCGATCTCTGCTTCACTTCTTCGCCACTGACAGAGCGGCTCTACGTGATTGGACGTGTGCACAACCAATAGCACTGTGTGAATACCATCGTCGAT